CATTTATGGGATGTTTTAAGATTGGGAGAGGAGAGAGAGAGAGTAATATTCAAGCACAAGTAAATACATTTGTTTTTCACACACTACAAATTGTAGGGCAATGTGCCCTATATATACACATATTCCTATAGGGGTTACACTATGGGTAGGACAAAATTTAAAGCAGTTACAACCATTACAGCAGGAGTTACAATAGCTATTACAGCAGGTTTCAATGGGCATGAGGTCCATTATTCATAGGAGTTGCAGGTTTTAATGGGCATGAGCCCATAATACCATAACAACCACTTCATGAGGCCCATTATGTATGAGAATTACAGTTGTCACGTATGTTTTAATGAGCATGAGCCCATACCAGTTGCATGATCCCATGACAATTGTTACACTCCCTCTAAAGTTGGAGCATATATATCATAGATGCCCTGCTTTCCCGAAGTATCCTTTAGTTGAACTCGATTAGAGGCCTTGGTAAGTATGTTTGCCAATTAATTCTCAGAGCGAACAAATGGAATACATACTATCTTTGAAGCGATCGCTTCTCTAACAAAGTGGCAGTTGACCTCATTATGATTGGTTCTTTCATGAAGTATTGGATTCATGGCAATATAAATTGCCGCTTGATTACCACCATGTAGAGGAATAGAAGTTGATACATTAACGCCCATCCCTTGAGGAAGAGAATAGAGCCAAATTATTTCACATGTAGCACTTGCCATTGCTCGATACTTCGCTTCTGTTGAAGATACAACACTTTGCTTCTTAATCTTCCAAGTGACTAAATTACGACGCACTGTCATAAAGTAGCCACGGGTAGATCGTCAGTCATGAGAACATCCTACCCAATCCGCATTGCAGAAACTTTTACATCAAGATGACCATGACTGGTATAAAGTGGTCCTTTCCCTGGAGCAGATTTTAAATATTGTAAAATGCGATAAATAACCTTCAAGTGATGGGAGCATGGTGTGTGCATAAACTGACTTGACACGTTTATAGTATATGCAATGTCTGGTCGTGTGATAGTCAAATACATAAGTCTACCCACTAATCTCTGGTATAAACCAGGGTTACTCAAAGCTCTGATAGTTGAGCATACAGTTTGTGATTAACCTCTATAGGAGATTCAGTTGGTTTGGCTCCAAGCATTCCTGTGTCATTGAGGAGATCAAGAGTACACTTCCAATGAGACAAAAATATTTCTTGTTTAGACTTAGTCACCTCTATTCCAAGGCAGTATTTCAAAAAATACCCCCCAAGAACTCTTTTACTTTTTGAATTTTGTGACCATTATTTCCTGTGAGCACAATATCATCCACATACACTATCAGTATTGTGGTAGAACAAAATCTATTTAACAAATACAAAATGATCAGATGACTCCTTTGAAATCTGAATTGACATATTGCCATACTGAATTTTTCAAACCAAGCCCGGAGGTGACTGTTTCAATCCATATATAGCTTTCCTCAACTTGCTGACCTTTCCTTTCTCCCCTTGAGGATAAAACCCAAGTGGTAATTCATATAGAATTTCCATTCTTTACGTCGAGTCGGTGGAGTGGCCATTTCCTATTTGTTGTAATAGATAAAAATACCTGTACTGATTTCAACTTTGCCACAAGAGAAAAAGTATCCTTATAATCATCTCCGTATAACTATGTAAAACCCTTAGCCACCAAATGAGCTTTTTTTCACAATCTTTGAGTAACAAGGATTTGTCTTGCAAATCTTTTTTCAATCTATCCAAACATTCTTTAATCTCCTTTTTTATATCATCTGTAGCTTGTGGGCATGCTCTTACATTCTCAGAAATTCCGGCTAAATGCTCTTTTTGTCGAAAAATATCACCCATATAATAAGTATTTCCACAGAGCAAGCATATCACACAATTTCTTTCGGATTTTTTAGTTTAGCATAATTCGAAGCCGGATCCTTGTTACTAGAAGATTGGGAAGAAGACATTGCCCCAAAAATAAGTATAACAGTATTATTGTACAAGAACGAGTAAAAAGTTACCGACTCTGTGAAGTAGTGCTCGATTTCTTCATGGCTTATGAAATCCCTAATTTCTTATCACGAATTCACCTTAACATCCCCAAATCAACAATCAAAGGCATCAAATGAACATCCAAGTATCAAACAACCGCGTGAAGATTTGGATACAAAAAAAATTTTCGCCTAATTTTTTTTCTTTCGATTTGATGCAAAAAAAGCCACAAAAGTGGCTGGAATCTTCGTTTAGGGGGTATAATAACCCCCCAAACAGTTTCCCTACAAATCGAAATTTTTTTCCGTAGAAACAGATGCGGTGCGATGCGGTCTAATGCAGTGCGATGTGGGATGCGGCCATGATGTGGCCTGATGCGGCGCATATGCGGCCGCATCTATCAAAAGTGCATATGCGCCAGTTCGCGATGCGGATGCGAGCGCATCCCGCATGATGCGGCCGCATTTTAAAACACTGTTTCAGTCTCGTGTGGATGCAAGTTCCAACCATGCTTTCAGGTATGTCTCCTCCTCCCACAATGGGAGCATTTGAGTTTCTCATTTTTGGAGGGAGATAATTGAGCACGATGTGGTCCTTTCATACCCACTTTTCCTTGCTTGAAGCTTGTTGCAAAGGCTGACCGTTCATGATGGATGCTTGAGTTTTGTCCTTTTGCAATAGCTTTTCTACTGGCCTCCCTCTTTACATAATTATAGACAGATTTAAGAGAGTGCAATTTGTCCTTTCTTAGAACTTGTACTCTCTGAAGTTCAAAGTCAGGATGTAGACCTGTTAAGAACTCAAAGATCCTTCTTTGATCGGACTATTTTTTATTATCATCAACATTGGGATAAATAGGCTGATAGTGGTCTAGTTCTTCCCACTTTTGCCGTAGTATCCCAAAGCAATCTTCCAGAGTCAATTCTCCTTGATGCAAATTCGCTATTTCGCGATGCAATGACTAGCCATATCATCTCGTTGTGAGTATGTCTTGGCTGTTGCTTCCCATATATTCTTTGCGGTATTAAGAAACAACAATTCCCTGCTGATACTTGTCTGCATGGAATGAAGGAGCCTTGCCATTAATGTCGAGTTTTTACTTTCCCATTCATTATGGGATGGATTATTTGTGGGAAGCTCTCCGACTTTTCATGTGATATAAATCAATTTCCTCCGGCTTCCTATGACCATTTTGGCAGATTGGGACCATTCTAGTAGTTTGTCCATCTAGTTTAACTGTAGTAATCATCAATCCTGGGTGGTCAGATTGATTGCTTCCCATGGAATTATTGTGCTTGATTTTTAACATTTTCCTTCTCTCTAAAACTAGAAGCCCTAAGGCCTTTTTTTTTTCTTTTCAAGGTACTAATTCCTTAGTTTTAAATGTGAGGTTGCTGGAAATGTGAGGTTGCTGGAGATATGTGGTTCCTAGAATTATGAGGTTGCTGAAAAGAAAGGAGTTTGGGATTACTGTGAGGTTGCTGGAAATGTCAGATTGCTGGAAATATGAGGTTGCTGGAAATATGTGGTTGCTGAAAAAGAAAGGAGCTTGGGATGAAAACTTACTTGTTGGTAAAAGAAAGTGAGATGATCTTGCTGGAAATACGAGATTGCTGATACAACACGGCTTCAAGCCCAAGAAGGAAGGAAAATCATGATTTTAGGGTCATTGGAAGTAATGGATATCCTAGGGTTTCAATCCCTACTCTGATACCATGTTAAGATTGGGATTGAAGAGAGAGATAGAGAGTAATATTCAAGCACAAGTATATACATATGTTTTTCGGACTCTACAAATCACAGGGCAATGTGCCCTATATATACAAATATTCCTATAGGGGTTATACTAGGGGTAGGTCAACATGCAAAGGAATTACAACCATTACAGCAGGAGTTACAAAAAAGCTATTACAGCAGGTTCTAATGGGCCTGACGTCCATTGTTTATAGGAGTTGCAGGTTTTAATGTGCAAGAGCCCATAATACGATAGCAGCTACTCCATGAGGCCCATTATGTATAAGAGTTACAGCTGTTACAGGAAGTATTCTGATGAGTATGCTGATGAAAACAGCATGATTTGAATGTTTGGGAAGATACTTGTCCGTATGTTTTGAATGCTGTCTGGCTTTAATGGATACACCTGATTTAGCATAACCAACCAATTAAAAGTTATAGTCACTCAGGCAGTACAGAAATTCTGTGAAGATCTTTTATGCACTAGGATTGTGATTCTTAGTATAAATTATAAAACAATGTCATAATTATTAAATTTGAAACTACGTTACTATATAAAGAGCGCTGCTGTTCAAGGCTAGAAAGTCGGTGGCTGCTCGGTCACTGCCAAAACCGCTTACATATTTAACTCAAAATATTTGTGGAAATTTTTTTAACAAGCAAAGTCTCTGTGATGGGAAACCCTTCTGATCACAGAAGTCATACACGATGCTATCATATTGAAAAAGGCTATATTTGTCAAATCAATGTGGTAATTTTCTCTAATGAGAAAATAGACAGTTCTCGAGTTTTTCATCTATAAAACTCTTCCTCTTAATAAGGTAAAATGATTCAGGGGGATTGTCAAACTCTAAATGAGCTTTTCCACTTGATAAGTCAAGTTGATCCAGCTGTGTTTGTCAGACCCTTAATTAAATGAGCTTGTATTCACTGAAAAAAATCAGGAACATTCCTTTAGCTTCACAAGTCTTTCGGTCCTTTTGCTTCAGTTCCAGCTGTTATGGTTTCTGAATCCTCTTTAATATCATGCCTTGTTTCCCATAAATTGTAGGTTCTTAATGTCAATCATAAAAATGCTGAGAAGGATGCTTCCTCTGGATTTTCATTATATTTTCTTTTTTGAGGGAATATTTGTCTGTATGAAGTATCGTATAAATAGTTCATGTTATCAAACATTTTTCCATTGCATATTGTTTATTGTTTGGAAAGGCTTTTCCTGCTTGGCATTTTACTGTCTGTTTGATAAATTTACTCTGCTCCATTATTATTAATCTGTGCAGTAAGCTTCCTTGCGGATGTCGGCGGCCTCTATTCCATTAGTATTGCTGTATTCTTATACCTCTTGCTGCAAGTAAGTTTATTTTAACGTCCCTTGGAAATCATCTTTTGCGCTATTTGTTTTCTTGTGACTGTGTCCATTGATAATCCGATTTTAATGCAATGTGAACTGTACTTTTCTTCATGTTACTTCCTTGGTCCTTCATAGGGAGGGTATGATGGGACAATGCATCAAGAAAACGAAGAATTATTTCAAAATTCTTCTGTTTGTTCTTCATAATATCAATGTGGAACTGGAAACCTATATTCTTTCTTAGCCTTTTTCCTGATACTATTTTTGTGCCAATAGCTTTCATAGGGAAAGAATGGTAGCAGAAGTTCTTGCTACTGCAAATTTTGCAGAAGTTTTGCTTAGAGACTAGATTAATGGGAAATCTCTTTGCAAAAACTGCGTAGTTCTGCATAGGATTGGATCTATATTCATTATTTTTCGATTCTATTCTGGGGCCAGGGGTTTTAATGAGATGCTTGTGACTCCTCTAGGTCATCATAATGAAATCTAAGGGGCTTTGTGACATAAAACAAAGGAAAATTTACAAATAAAACCCTCCCAAAACCCTATATTAAACACCCTCTCTCTCTGTCTCTCAAAAATGCCTGCTCTCTCATCCTTGCAGTTTTTTGTTAGAGTTTATGTTATAGAGTCTGCTTGTTGTGTGTTTTGTTCGGTAGTTATTGGTTACAGTTTTGTATTAATGAAATCTTTTAGAATGGTTTGGCTTCTACTGATCAATTGAAAAAAGAAAGACTATATGGGCACTCTTTTCTGGGTTGGTTTTCTCTGGTAGCTTTGTGAGTTGATAACTTAAGTAACGCTGGAGGCCTAAGTTGAGGAGGAGTTCCTCAGAGACCATAGCAAGAAAACCCATTTCCAGAGAACCATGACCTCGACACTTTTGTCACCATTCTCTCGCTAAAACAAGAGCTTTTTAGGTCTCTCTCTCTCATCACCTCTTTCCAAGCTCAAGAAGTAATGAAAAGCTGTGGAAGCCTTCGACATGAGATTCCAGGGCTCCAAGTTTTGGTTCTTTTCAATTGGGATCTCTCTCCATCTGGTTTCGAACTAGAAGCCGTGGCATTCAATGAAATGATCGATCTTTTTGATAAGTTTGTCTCTTCAGTTGTTGGGAGCTGATAAACTCCATGAAAAACCCAAAAATTAGATATTAGAATTGGAAACTTCGGGGGGTTTCTACATTTGCATCCCTTAAAGATGGATGCAAATGGGGGTCCCAAGTAAAAACAGTTGAAACTAACGGTTCAAACGTTTTCTTCATAAAAGTTTTATTTTTTTAATTTTAGAATTATTTACTTTTTATATGCAGGATCTCCATGTTAGAGATTATGTGTCCATAAAAGTTGGGTCCAAAATTCTACCCTCAAAAATAGATTTTTAAGAGGGGACTCCTTTCTAATTCATAAAAACCATGTCCATTGGAATTTAGCTTAGGAGTTGATGAAGTCCACGAAAACCCAAAAATTACTGATTGGAGTTTAAGCATTTTTTTGTTTATTGGATCAATTAAGCGAAGCTCTTCATTCTCAAGAAATTAGGGAAGTTCATCAAAAGTAATCAAAATCCCAATGCCTTAAAACTGCATCAATCTTAGTAAAAATCAGATTATGAAGAAGAAAATCATTATTCAAAAGTGATTTCCCAAAATCAAAGATAGATCATATAAATAACCAAGAATTTGGCAAAAAAACCAAGAAACCAAAAAATAACCAGAATTTTATCTTATCACTATGGTCAGGTATGGATGAAATTTCACTGGGCAAACAGTTTTGGCCGGAATGGAATACTTTGATATCAGTATCAGGTTATAGCTTTTAATTAAAATTTTCCCATCATAAAGCCAGATAATATTTTCTAATAAAATTTTTCCTATCGTAAAGCCTGATAAAAAAAATTACCAATAAGAAGAGTTAGAAGCTGTGGCAAAATATGTCAAGGCCATTGCAAATGATCACCTAGAAACTGCATATGAGACAGATTCCAGCCAATTTCCGGAATGAAGCTCATGTCATGAATTTGCCTGAAAAATGATGTATAGTTTTGGATCATTAGTTCCTGATTGAAGAATAACTGGAGAAGAAACAAGTATTTGATCATTGGTTCTCTGAGGTTGATTGAAGAAGTCTTTGACGTATTCCATAAGTCTCTATTACTTGGTCCACAAAAGGTTCCGCAGTAGATCTTTACTCTGTAGTCAAAGACTTCTCTGAGATTAAGGGTGTGTGTTTTAGAGAGTGCGACAGAATGACAGAATGTTCAGTGAGAGTGAGAGTGAGAGCAAGAGTATGCGAGAGAAATTTGAGTGGGTAATGGTTTGGGGCTTAGGACTTGGAGGAAATCGAGGGAGTTGAGAAGGACAAAATTCGGGAGAAAACATGAAGGGTTGTGGACTTGTAGGAAAGGGGTTATTTCAGTGTATAACGGGGAGTAGTATGGTCGCTTAAAGGATTTTGATGGGAGTATGTTTTGAAGTATAGGAGTTTGGGAGAATTTTATTTGTATTTTTTCCTAAAGAGTTGTAAGGTTAGAACTGCTATTCAAATATTAATATGAGATGTTAAAGCTTAATTTCATGTTGACTTTAGCTGTTTGAGTGACAGCAATAAATTTTACAACTTAATATGGCTTCAATGAAGGATCAACTTCCCTAATATTTCTTGTTATCAGGTTGATCTGTTCCATTGTCTCTGCTCATGTCCTTTTTATCTGATGTTCTTGGTATTCATACAGCTCTAGTGGTTTCCTGGACATTCTAGTTTCTGATGTTCAAACTGATTATGAGAATACGACAACACTTGGGCATTAGTTGATAATTTTCTTTTTTGCAAAACTCTGATTAACACTGCTGAAAAAGCTATACTGTTATATATAACTATCTGCATCAATCCATAGTGTGAATACAGAATTAAGAAGCTCCGATATGAAGATGCCACATTCAGAAAGATCAGAAGTCGCAGGCTAGCTCAGAAGCGCTGGAATAAGGTATCATCGCAATCTTTGTAGTTTCTAAAGCTCATGTAACTGCAGTGACTATATTCCTTCATAATGTTTATTCGATGTGATGAACTGAGTGGGTTTTCTGTGATTTATCACAAGTTGAGGAAATATGTGATGTACACATGGGGTTCTGAACTACTTGATGAGAAGAACCAGGGCATTACAAAGAGGAAAACCTTTGTCCATAAGATTTTTCGATCCATGCAAAGATTTGGGTCATTGGAACCTAGGAGGCAACAAAGTATTGAAGATCATATGGATCAAGTAGCATCTACTAGGAGACCTCTTGAGAAGGTAAACATTTTAGTGATGTTTTATCTTTTCCGATTGGACTGGATGTATGCTTCTGTAGTTCATTCTGAGTAAAGCGACTCACAATTGGCATGCAGAATAGCATATCAACACCTCCTCCTGCAGATATGGTAAAGTCATGCTTAGCAACAAGTACACATGAAACAGAGTATAAAGGCTCCTATGGTGTAGAAAATGTGAGTTGGATTTTGCTTTCAAACTATTGCTTTGACTTAAGTTTTATTTGTCAAATCTGTGAGCAAGGATGTTACTGTTATTTGTGTACGCATGCAAGGGCATTATATAGTGTTGTATGTACATTAGTCATTGTACAGATGCTGTATATGGACTCATTATCATTTATTTGTCTTGCGGCATTTAATTATGATGTAATATATTTTGTTGTTACCACATTAGACTTGTAGCATCAATTTGATTGGAAAAGTTTCCCTTGAGCTTGTAAAGTTTTCTTTCTGTGTTCTTTTGTTCCTTTATTCATTAATGCATTTTGATCATCTCATGCGGCATCAGAAGTACAGTCAATAGATAATTTAGTTGATTCTCGTTCTTGTGGAAGCATCTTTCACTAAAATTGGTTTGTCTTGAGGTGCTCTTTGGTCTCTCTACCTAGGAGGAAATCAAAGCTATCTAACACCTTCTTGCACATTCAAGTTTGAAACTTTTGGACAATCTTCGTCCAATCAACAGGTATTCCTGAGCGATCCATGGGTTTTGTTTACTGCCCTTGAGTCAATCCCCGTTGTACTCATCAACCTCTTTTGAATTTTCTTTTCTTTTTTTATTTTTTTATTTGAGCATTTCTGATTGTATTTCTACATGCCCTCAATTTGTTCTAGAATTTTCTTCCATGTTTCTCAATCTCAATATTGAAGTTGGGTAGTTCTATTAAGTATTTGAATAGTTCATGTTCCATTCATTTTTGCCTACATAGACATGGCTTATCCAAGCACTTTCTTCCTCTTTCCTTCCACATAATTCTAGAATTTATCTCATTCCGCTTCCTACATATCTATGTTCCTCTTTCCCTTCACATAATTCTAGATTTTATCTCCTTCTTCTTCCTACATTGTCTTCAGATTCCTACTACTTCTTCTTCCTTTTTCCATTCACGTGCCTCTGAATAAAAGAGAAAGAAGAGAAGAAAAAGAAAAAAAAAGGAAGGGAAAAAAGTCATCACTATAGGACATCACGCCCGGTTTTCTTTCTTTAGGGACTCACTCCCCTAAATTTCTCTCTCTAGGGTATCACACACCTAGCAGTCCCTTTATTTCTTGCTTCTCATCTCTTGACAAAATCTCAAAATTCTTTTCTCACGGAAACGCTAATTATCTACATCCACTCTCTAGGGCATCATTTGCTCAATTTTCTTCCTCTAGAGCATCACATGCTCACTTTGCCAACAATCTTTCCTAAAAGTCCGGCAACGTTTTTCTCTTCTTCTCAACTTCTAGCTCTACATAATGTCTTCCTTTGACCCATTTCTATTGTCACTATAAAGCTGACTTCGTCCAATATTATATCATAGAAAGACATCATTGCACCTTTCCTTCATGGTCAGATAATAATGGGGCATTAGATGGTGTTCTTGAAAACCCCCCTTTGATCATCGTAATAAAAGTGAGACTGATGAGATGGAAAAATTAAAGTCTCACTCAAGAACCTTGCATATGAGAAGTGGGTTGGTATTGATCAGCAACACACTTAATGGATCAGTACAGCTCTTCTCTCAAGAAATCGTCATAGACGTCATTGGAATGCCACAGCTATAGAATTATGGAAGGCTCTACATGAATCCTTCTCACATTAGTCAAAGGCACGTGTGATGCACTCGAAACTTGCACTTTAGTGATGCAAGCAAAAAAAGATGATGATATTGGAATTTTATGGCACCACAAGCTCTATGGCTTGTTTTACAATTGAGGGTGCCTTTTAGTGGAGGTCTTTCCTACAATGAGCAACACCTCCATTTCTAGTTCTAATGGTGATGGCACTGCGACAGCCATCATGCTTTTTGCTATTGAGCAACTTCTATTTCATTAGTATTGTTCAAGTCTTCAATCTATCCACAACAGCTACTGTATCTAAAAGAATTCATCCAATTTGAGGACATTTAAATGATCATGGCTTGCGCTCTATTCTAATCCCCTTCCTCTAGTATGACCTCCTCCTCCTGTTCGTCCCTCGTGAGAGGCATTCCTCTTTAGTCCACCCATGCACTCCAAGTCCTTTGGCCCCTTGTCCTATATCTCTCAAGTCTCAACCTAGCTCCTTCTCAACCATTAATTCCATCCCCAAACCTCAACCACTCCTGATCCCTCAAACCCACCCCCTCCCCCCTCTCTTTTTTTACAATAACTATTGGCAAATTCTCGACAGTGCCCTCATTGCTCACGAGATCATCCATTTCCACCATGTCTCCCAATCCCACAAGCTTGTACTCAAACATGAGTTGGGAAAAAGCTTACCGGTTAGGTGCCTCGATCTCGCCCCCGGATCTGGATGATCTGGTGGCATGTGTATTGGGTTTCAAAGGGAACCCGGGACTTGATAGCACTCTCTCGGGATCCTTGCGCAAGAACAAGGGCAGGTATACCAACCAATGAGAGAGGAATTTGTTGTGAGGCGGGACACACCTCACCTGGGTCCGTGACTCACTCGGGTTGGATCGCGTAGGCGCCCTCTTAAATCACGTCGGAAAGCCCTCCAGTTGTACAACTGGTTCGGAATCGCCTCCCTTGGCTTGTATTCTCCTGTTTCTGCTGTCACATACACGTGGTTAATTTACAAGACAAGTGGGCTAAGAGACCCCATCTTATCTTTGGGTGAATGCACACAGGCGTTCACATTCAAAGGAGAAAAGAGAACTAGAAATGATAAGATGAGGGTTGGCAGAAGGAAGAAGAGAGAAGAGAAGAAAAGAAAGAGACATTTGACTGGGTGGCTAGCCTAGCACAGTGGCAAGATTGGCATGATGATTGACTTGACGTGGTAGCAAGACGAGCACGGTAACGCGGACCGGCACGGTGGCAATACTCCTCGACGACAGAACACCAACACCAACCAGCCTGGCACAACGGCGTGTTCGACGTGGCAGCAAGACCAGCACGGCGACAATACTGCTCGATGATGAGACTACCGTGACAGTGCTAGACTTGTCCTTTGGTCAAATGAGAGAGGAAGAAGAAAAAGAAAGAAAGAGGAGAGATAAGAAAAACAGAGAGAGAAAGAGCGAAGGAAAGAGATAGGAGAAAAGAGAAGTAAAGGAAAAGAAAAGAAAGAGAAGAGAGAGAAGAGGAAGGAGAGAGAAGAGAAGAGGAGAGAAGTAAAGAGGAGAGAAGAATGTGGAGCGAGAAGAGAAGAGAAAAGGGAGAGAAGGGAGAAGATAAAAGAAAGGAGAGACAGAAGGAAGGGGGAGAGAGAAGTGAGTGAGAGAAGAGAGGGAGAGAAAGGACGGAGAAGAGAAGAGAGAGAAAGAAGAAAGGTGAGAAGAAAAAGAGAGAAAAAGGAAGAGAGACAAAGAACATAGACGGCGGTGGGTTTCTGTCCCCTATGACAGAGGAGAGAGAAAGAACATGGACGACGATGGGTTTCTCCGCCCATGATAGAGGAAAGACGAGGGAGATAGAGCATGGATGACGATGGGTTTCGCCACCCATGTCAAGAGAGAGAGACAGGAGCAAGAAAGGGAAAGTCACGCTCGGCGCTAGGCATCGCTGCTTGTGCCGTAAGGGACTCGGACACGCCCCCACCTGCCACTCGGTGAAGGGCCCGGTTCAGTGTCCTTGTCAAAGAATGAGCAAAGGAATGTTATGCACGGCGATGAGCATCATTGTGCACAACATGGTGAAGGGGAAACTTGGACAGAGGCCCGGCCCGCCACTCGGGTTAAGGCTCCGCTCACTATGCATGTTTCCAGAGGATAAGGGAAGAATGAGAATGTCATGCCCGGCGATGGGTATCGCCGTGCATGACTGGAGAGGAGAGAGAAAAGAAATAATAGGGTGAGAGAAAGAAAGATTGAGAGGAAGAAAGAGGGTTTAGGAAAGAGAAGGAAGAAAGGAAAGTAGAGAGAGAAGGAAAGAGAAGATTAAGAAAGAGGGGGAATAGGAAGAGAAAGAAAGCAAACAGAAAAGAGGAAAGAAGAAGAAGAGAGAGAAAGATAGAAAGCGAGAAAGAGACATGCACGACAATAGGTTACTGTCGTGCATGTGTAGG